TCATGACGGCGCCAGAACACCGTCGTTGTTGGAGTAGATGATGATCACTCCTCGGCGTGGCGACGACCCTCCTGTCAACGACGATGACGGCGGACAGAAAAATGGTGCTCCCAACAGCGGCGCCGTGTAGTAGTGAAGTAGCAACAGTTCTGCTCGTCCGCCGGCGGGTGCTAGGAGCACCAGTGGTGCTTCGTCCGCCGGCGCTTCACCACGGCGACGAGTGCAGCCGAGTGGTGGTGTAATCTCCGGCGAGCAGCGTCGTCGCCGCCACCCTCGTTGCGGTCGTTGCCTCCACCAGCTTCCCCTCCGCCGTCGCCACCACCGCGCGCGAACCGCTCCTCTACCAAAGACGCGCCACCCACCGACGGCTCCCCCGAGGACACCTCCTCGGGTGATGACTCTTCCGACGACCCTCCGTCTGATGGGGACGACCATCTCGCAACTGCTCTTGCAGAGGAAGCCGCCAACCGTGCCCTCGAGCAGTCCCTCGACAAACTCGCGTCTCAGCCCCGCCGGCCACAGCCGCGCCGCGAGCGGCCTGCTCGAGGGGACCCTGGCCACTGGGAGGGGATCATTGCCCACACGCTCTCGCATTTCCGCCAACGCCATCGCCCTGTCTCAGAGGCCACCGCCTCCGAGCTCCCCGCCGGCCCTTCTCTCGCGCGGCTGCCACCGCCACCGCGCGAGGCGAATGCCTCCCAGCTCCTACCGGCCGCAACCGGCCCGCCCTCCCGCCGCCGCCGCACCCAGATGCTGAAGCCTCTCGGGTGGCCCAGGAGGCCCGCACCGCCTCGCGCTCCCCTGCAGCGCCCCGACCCCTCCCTGACCGCCCCCGAAAGCGAAGCCCGCGCCCTGCGCGGCCACCCAACCGATTCTGACTCCGACCCCAGGGCCTAGGCGGCCCGCCATGAAATCTAGCCGTGTGTGCTGGCGTCCGGGTCCCAGCGGGTTTTCACGTAACAAGTACACACACCCTACCTAGGTACCCGGCTCGGAACCGAACCCATGCTTCCTACACTCTACACCACTCTCCTCCTCCTCCTCCCTTTGGGCGTGCATGCCGGAGGACGGAGCGACGGTGGGCAGGTTTTACGCGAGGAGGGCTGAGAGCTCTCTCCGCTCAAGGTCGCGGCCGTGTCGAGAGCGGCCCCGCAACACACACCCTACCTAGGTACCCGGTACACCACTCTCCTCCTCCTCCTCCCTAACCTTGTGTGTCGGAGAGAGCATGCTGTGCTGTCGAGGGGACGACGTCGAGCCGAGTCTCAGCGCCGTGTAGCCGAGATTCGCGATGCGAGGGAGCAGGTCCGTGCGCAGGTCGGACCAGCGGCCAACCTCCTCCCGCGCGGTGGCGATCCCCACGTGCACCTCGTACACGCGCAGCGAGCCGGGCGGCCGCGACGGGCGGGCGTGCTGCCACGCAAAGCCGCCGAGGCTGCGCGGCACCAGCGCGCAGACCTCGTACGAAGACGGGTCCTGCTGCACCTGCTCGCAGCGGCGACGCGTCAAGGGCCGCATTCTCCGCCCGCCCTCCCGCGCCGCACACGTGCCACGCCTCCAGAGCCCAAGCCGGCATCGACACCACCCAGCCTCCTCCTCCCTCCCAGCCTCCTCCCTCGCCGCCGCCCGCGAGCCCCCGCAGCGCAACCTTGAACCTCGCGCCGACGCGGAGCGGCACGAGCAGCGTCGTGTCGTCGTCCCTCACCAAGGCCTCCCACACCCCTCCGCCGACCTCCTCGCACGGGTGCGCCGTCACGTCCCATCCGTTGAAGTCACCGACGAGCGACGCGGCGGCAGCCGAGGGCGCCCACTCGCGAAAGCGCCAGCCGACCGCGTCGCGATGCAGGCCGAAGTGCCGCAGCCCTCGCTCCACGCAGAAGTGCCGCAGCCCTTCCGCGGAGCCCTCAGAGGGACGACACTGGCCGTCACCGCCACCGACGCCACCCTCGGCACAGAGCGAGTCGAGCGCCTCGCGAAAGCGGAGGTGTCGGCGGCGGATTCGGGCCCGGAGGAGTCTGCCAGCAGCGGGTCGGCGACGATCCAGTCGGGGTAGTCGGCGTTGGAGCTGAGAAAGAAAGAAAGAAAGAAAACACACAACCCAAGGGAGGGATGGGAGAACGGCACGCCGCCACCACACAGGGATTTTAAGGAGAGGAGTGTGATGCGCTAGCCGTCGCCCACCCTGGGGAGTCTGCCTCTTCGTATCTCTTTTCGCAGTCTCTCGCCGCTTCTCGCTGCAACCTTCTGGAGCTGAGATAAAATAAATAAATAAATACAACGGACACGCCAAACGAGGGGTGGGAGAAGGACAGGGTCCCCACCTGGAGCTGAGAGCAACCACGCCGTCGCGCTCAGAAATTCTTTTTTGGCCGGTGCCAATGAAAGAGACAGAGGCCTAGCAAGAGCGATCCTTGTGGTCGCTCGCGCTCCGAGAGCTCGCGGGCCTCAATGAGTCCGCGGTGTCGGTGCGGTGAGTGCGCCGGCTGCCTGGCTACGGAATGCGGAACCTGCCGCGAGTGCCTTGACCGGCCGCGGCTTGGCGGTAAGGGCGTTCGCAAAAAGCTGTGCCGCCGTCGCAAATGCCAAAACCCTCAGCACGCAGGGCGTATCCATGTCGCCGCCGCTCCCGTGTCCTCCGCCAGCCCGCTCCCGCTTGACGCAATGCTGCCTCAGCTTCTCCAGCAGGCGCGAGCGCACCTCTCGCGGCTCAGGCGCCTCCCTGCTCCGCGCGGCTGCCTCGTCGCCTCCATCCGGGCGTCCTCCGCCTCCGCTTCCGCCTCCGCTTCCGCCTCCGCCGCCTCCTCCTCCTCCTTCGCCCCTGCCTCCGCCTCCTCGTTTCCGCCCTCGGCCGTCCCCGGCTGCTTCTGCGCCCTCCCAGCCAGCCCGGGCGCCTTCCAGGCCCTCGCTGTCCCTGACGCCGCCGCCGCCCCCGGCGGTACGCTCCAGCGCTGGCAGGCAGGTCTGCTCACACCCGTGCGCTCCCCGCCCCCCCCGCACTTTGGTGGAGCCGTCGGGCTGGGGACATGCAGAGAGATGGGACTGCGGTGGGCTAGGGACATGGAGAGAGATGGAACTGCGGTGGGATTGCGAGAATATCCCGGCCTCTGCACCAGAGCTGCAGACGACCCCCCTCCCCCCCTCCCGCTCCGCCTCTTAGGCCGAGCGGGGTCTCTGCCTCCAGCCGCCGTCGCAGTCGCCGTCTCCGGCACGCGGGGCGGGGAGCCGTGCCGGTTGCCGCTGCGCAGCCGATGGGACGAGCTGCTCGCCCCCGCAACCCGCGAGGGCGGCTCGGAGGAGCATCGAGCCACTGGCTGTGGCGGCGGGCCGCTGGCGGCGGTGCCGCTGCGACGCGAGTCGGCGGGCGGCGGCGCGGCGGCCGCCTTCGCCCCTAGCACGGCTTCTCTTGCACTCGAGACTGCAGCCAGCCCCGCGCTCGCCGCGCCGCTGCTCCCCGCGCTCGCCCCGACTCTCGCCCCGACCTTGGCCTCCGACGGCGGCGCGGCCCTCGCCGCCGCACCCTCCGCCGCCGCGCCCGGGCGGGCACGGCGTGCTACCTGGAGGTAGGGTGTGGACGGCGCCTCTTCACGGCACGCGTGCTGTGAGCAGGTGGGGCGCCATCGTCGACGAGTGGGCAAACGAGCCTAGATGCGTATTGTGCACTCCGATTGGCACTCGAAACGACACACATTCGGCGGGTATGCAGCCGTACTTAGCTGCTCTCGTACGGCGCTGTGGATGCTCTCGGAACTGCGCTGCACCTTTCGCGTTCCCGCCCTGACTGTGGCGTCCTATTGAGGTCAGGCAACCGAGTTGGACCTGCTGGAGGGGACCGGTAAGTGCCATGCGGCAGACCCGGCGGCACTGCCCTCGCCGCTCCCCTCGCCGCCGGAGCCTGCCCCTCCTCCTGGAGGGAAGGGCACCGTCGCGCGCGATGCCTCCCCCCCCCTCCGCAACACCCGCATCGGCGCCCTTGCCCTCGCTGCCGGGGGCGTGCTCGCAGCAGTGCAGTGGGGCAGCGGCGACGTCGCGCCACTGCATGCCTCGAGCCCGCCCTCCGTGCCGCCGCCCTCCATGCCGCCTTCGCCGCCGGCCATGCGCATCCCACTGCGTCTGGACGTGGCACAGTACAAGCCGGTCCAGCTGTCGCTCGCCCTCGCGGTGATGTTCGCCGCTCGTCTCGCCGAGCTCGACACCACCAACCCCTCCGGCCTGCTCGCTGCCGCGGGCTTTGGATTGCTGGCCCTCGCCAACCTGGCACAGGCCTGGCCTCGCTTTTTCGCGCGCGGGAAGATCTGGCTTGTTGTGTGCGCCCCGACTCTGCGTCTGTCAAGAGTCCTTGTCCGCTCGCCGGAAGCGATGGCCCGTGACTTGACAAGCTCGCAGGCATTGGGCGTTGCGTAATCACGATGGCTACAGCGACCGGCGCCGCTTTCGGAGCTCTGCCACCCTCTGCCCTCCCTCCGACCCGCAAGCTACTCGCAGTGGGATACTGCGCTTGCGCGTCGGCATGCGTGAACGTGATCCTTCGTGTCCGCACGGGCGACGAGAGCGCGCCCTCCTTTCACCTGCTGCACATCGTCCTCCCCTTCTTCGCGTCCTTCCTCGCGGCCCATGCAGCTTCGCGCAGCAGCTTCGGGCAGAACGTGGCGCGGCAGAACGTGGCGCGGCTCGCGTCCTTCTTCGCGGCCCAGCGAGGAACGCGACCGCACCGGCGCGTTTTCGCACGGCGTTCTCGGGGTGCCTGCGCCCGCTGCTGCTCCATGCGGCACGGATGAATTGATAGGCCGACCGCCGCCGTGCAGCTCGAGATGGGCTGCCCGCTGAGCACGCCGCCGCTCAAGATCGCGGTGGGCGTCTGCTGCGGGCTGATGGGTGGCCCCGCCTCTTGCGCTCCATCACCCTCTCCCAGTTCTGTCCTTGAGGTGGTGTATAGATAGTGGTAGCTGCTGCACGAACGTACGGTCCTCGAGGAGTTGTACGTTTCTCGCGTCAGTGTTCTCGTGTATCTGTAGAGCGTGTGTCCATTGTGTGATTACGTCGTACGTGAGATAGATTGTTTAATAATAGGGGAGAGAGAGAGGCTTGGTGGACCGTTACACATTCCTCTTTTGTGTGTGTGGTTTGTGTTTTTGGGGCAGGAAAAGGAAGAAAAGAAAAGATTCCGCATTAGGGAAGGAGGGCGGATGCGGGGATGGGGGTTGGGGGAGACAGCACACATTTTGCCCCTTCTTCTTTTCTAAAACAGTGTCTTTTCTTTCTACTTCCGTGCCCAGTGTCGTGCGAGCAATTGTAAAATTCTTTTTACTTCGCTCTCGTCGGGGGCGGGGTGTTCTCGGCGGGCACTCTCACCGCCGCAACCCTGCAATGCCGCGCTCGGACTACCAGTTCAAGTGCGTGCTCATTGGTGACAGCGGTGTGGGGAAGACGTCGCTCATTCGTACCTTTGCCACCGGCGGCTCGCCGCTCTCCGCGCCCTCGGCCGGAGGCGTCGACTTTGCCACCAGGTGCCTCTTACGGCACGGCACAGCTTCAAGCGGGAGGCCCTCCCCGCTGAACAGTGCACCCACACCTCTCACCATCCCCTCCCTCAAACCCTCCTGGCTATCCAGCCCCTCCCGGTCCTAAGCGCGCCGAGCCTGCCCGCGCCGCGCCGTCTCGCTGCAGGCAACTGGAGCTCAAAGGCAAGACGGTGGAGGCGCAGATGTGGGACACGGCCGGCATGGAGCGGCACCGCGCGGTGACGGCGGGCTTCTACCGCGGCGCCGGGCCTTCGTCGTCTTTGACCTCACGAGCCACGCCTCATTTGGTGCCCGATCAGTGAACATGCAACTCTAAGACATGCACTGCCACCGAGCAATCCTCGCCGCCCATCGTCCCCGCCCTGCAGGCCACTGCGAGAGATGGTTGAGGGAGCTACGGGCGCACCGGGCCGAGGGCGAGCCGCACCTTCCCCTCGTCATGATGCTGCTCGGCACCAAGGCTGACCTGCGCCGGAGGCGCGCCGTCGACGCGCAGGACGCAAAGGAGTTTGCTCAGCGGCACCGCCTCCTCTATGCCGAGTGCTCGTCCAGCGACGCCTCGGAGGTGTGCTTGCGTTGACGAGGTGACCACCTCTCGCCCCGAATCCCCGTTCCGCCACACTAGGTTAACCAGGCCTTCGAGAGGGTGTTGGCTGAGGTGTTCCGGAGGGTGCGCAAGAGCATCGAAGCGGGCCGATGCAACCCAGACCGGCCAGCGCCAGTGCTCATCAATACGGTTCTGCTTACGCCCGCGCAGCAGGCGCGCGATGAAGGCCGGGCTCAGGCCGCCGGTGGCTGCTGTTGAGTGCGTTGTTGAACGCTGTGTGGTTGTGGCTTGCTCACCCATTGCACACACATCTCTGACCCTTGTTGCTGGTACCTTCCTGTGTCCTGAGCCCGTCGCTCGTGGCTCTCTAGTCTCTCTTCTCAGCGCTGACGCTGTGCGAAAAAAACCATCTCTATTTCTCTACACCATCATGCGTGGGACGTATGAGGCTCTCCCCGACACGCCAGATACCGTACTCGCGAAGCGACCGTAGGCTCGCCCGATAAACCGGCACGCGCTAGTAGCGCGTGCACACCAACTGCTTCTCCGAAGGGGAGAGAGAGAACCGCGTTGCACGGAAAAAGGGTGACGCCGTCGGCGCGCTCGCTTTCGCAGTGCGCCGCAGCGCATCCTCACTCGAGGGAGAAGACGCCGATGTCCTCATACGGAGGTGGGTCGGGCCACTCCTCTGGCACCGCCTCACATGGCACCCACGCCTCGCCCTTGCCCCACGCCCGCAGCTCTTTGGTGCGGGCGACCTGCTCATTCTTCTCCTTCGTCTCGACAAGAACCTCCTGCCTCACCGATGCGAGCAGCGAGTTTGGGATGCTGGTTCCGCGGCGGCGACGGTTGGGCATGGCCTGGCCCTTCACCTTGTCAGCCTCAAGGGCGCCTTGTGCCGCCTCGACAAACGAGGAGAGATCGAAGCCAAGAAGTGGCGACGAGGCGCCGAGCTTTGCGTTCGTGCTGGATGCCTCGGGGCCAAGCGGAGACATCGCTCTCTGAGCTTGTGCGAAGAGAGGCCGGGATCCCCACGTGGTTTGACCGAGATACGGCCGCCGAGATCCCAACAAGTTGGAGGCCGCCTTGCCCGATTTTTTTCTGCCGTGCGACCATAAAAGAAGTCGCCCACTCTCGGCGTCTCTCTTCGTAGGTAGGTAGAAAGGTGAAGAACAGCCAGGCTGGGACTGGACACCAACGCGGTATGGGTGGACGCTAGACAGATGAGATGACGACACGCACGAGCGACACACAGACACAAACATGCTCACAAGACACACAGCCAGCGGGCTGCCACACACCCTGAGTAGGCGTACACATAACTCAAGCTCTCAAGGCCACATCCTCCCTGTCGCCCCCCCCAGCACTCCACGGTGCCAAGGGCACAAACAGGGGCACAACAAACAACAGACAACAGGAAGTGACATGCGAGGCTAGAGCAGGCTTGCTCTACCTCCAGCAATCTCTCCGGCCGGCGGAGGCACGGACGAGACCGTGTGTGGGGTCTAGTGAGGTGTCTATGGACGCCCTCCTCAGAGGCTAGCTGCCTACGGCTAGCCCTGTCTCGCACTCACAGGTGATGACAATCCAATGTATGAGTGTATGCAAGCAGAGGCGCGTGTGCTAAATCTAGGCCGCACGTCGTGGCACTATGACGGAGGTAGACGTGCGACCGCAGCGCGCCCACCACAGTCTCGGTGGTGCGCGCGTGTTAGCGATAGAGTTCCGATGTTAAAAAGAAAAGGATGATTCAAATACAGCGGATTCGGACATCGCTCGGGATTCGGACATTGCTCAGGTCCAACCGCGAAGTTGGATGGTGGTCGACGCCCCTGCCAAACCGGTGCGCTTCGAGTTCAAAAACTGCTCCTACCGCGTGAAAGTGCGATCGGATGGACGGGGCCTGGGAAACACGCCCGCTTGCTGCGTCAAAACCAAGGACCGCTACCTTCTGCGCAACGTCTCTGCGTCGGTTTCGTCGGGCGAGGTCCTCGCCGTGATGGGCCCGAGCGGCGCGGGCAAGACGACGCTGCTGCGCATGCTCGCGCTCGAAAAGGGACCCGGCACTCCGTACGGGAATGTGACTCTCAACGGCCACGCGTTCACGCGCACGGTCTACACGGCGCACGCGGCGTCGGTCGAGCAGGAGGACTCGCTCTGGGCCTTCCTCACCGCGCGCGAGCAGCTCGAGTACGCGGTGCGCCTCTCGCGGCCGGCGCTGCGCTCGGCCGAGCGCGCCGCCGCCGTCGACGAGCTGCTCGGCGCCCTCGGGCTCGAGTCGTGCCAGCACACGCGCGCCGGCAACGCGCTGGTGCGCGGCCTGTCGGGCGGGCAGCGGCGGCGGCTCTCGCTGGCGCTGGCGCTGGCCAAGGAGCCGCTCCTCGTCTTCCTCGACGAGCCCACCTCCGGACTCGACGCCGCCGGCGCCGCCGCCGTCATGGCGCTGCTCAAGAGCGTCGCGCGCCGCGTCAACGCCGCGATCCTCTGCACGATCCACCAGCCCTCGTCGGCCGTCTTTGCCGGCTTCGACAAGACGCTCATCCTGTCGGGCGGGCGGGCGGCGTACTGCGGGCCGGCGAGCGAGCTGGTCGGCTACCTCGCCTCGATCGGCCAGCCCGTCCCCGCCAACACCAACCCGGCCGACCACATGCTGTCGATCGCAAACGCGGACTTCACCGACGCGAGCCTGGTCGAGGAGATAATCGCGCAGTGGAGCTCGAAGCAGCCTCCGCCGCAGACGGAGGAGGCCGACTGCGGCAGCGAGCAGCAGCCGGCGGGCGCGGGCGTGGCGACGCAGTTCGGCGTGCTGCTGCACAAGCACGGCCGGCTCCTGCTGCGCGACCCGATCATGTACAGCGCGCGGTGCGTCATCTTCGTCGTCATCTCGCTCTTCCTCTCGATCATCTACATCGACACGCGGAGGCGCGACTCGCAGGAGCAGCTCTTTCCTCGGCTGTTCCTCGAGGCGCCGACGATGGGCGCGCTCCCCGCAGCGGGGGCGGTGAACAGCGTCTCTTCACACCCCATCCGTGTGAACAGTGGTGGATCTCGAACATCGCGCCCGCCCTCGGGCTGCTCCCCCTCCTCGCCCAGTTTCTCGACCTCCAGATCCTCCGGCGCGAGCTGCGGGACGGCATCTACCACCCGGCCGTGTACGTCGCCGCGCAGACGCTGCTGCAGGCGCCAATTGGCGGTCGCGCGCTTCACACCCGGAGGCGGGCCGCGTCGCTCCACGCCCTCCCCCCTGTGACCAGGCGCCGATGATGTTTGTGCTCGCCTTTGCCAACTTGGTTCCCGTCTACGCGGTCGCGGACTGGCCGTGGGAGACCCTCGGTCTGCAGTGCGTCATCTTTGCGTTTACGCTCGCCGCCTTCGACTGCCTGGCGCAGGTCTGCTCGCTCGCCTCGTCGCCGGTCCTAGGCCTGCTCTTCTTCATTCAGGCGCCCCGCGCGAGGACGGCGCCTTCTTCCCTCCTCAACCCCGCCCGCGCCTCGGACCGCCTCCCTCCTCCCTCTCCAGGCGTGGTTCCTGGGCCTGCTCATGAACGGCTTCATGATGCTGCCCGAGGACATCATCTGGCCGATCCGCATCTTTGCGTACGCTCTTCCTCTGCGCTGGCAGATCCAGGGGTCCACCTACATCCTCTGGGCGATGGGCGACCATACCTACGGCGGGACTGAGCGGTGTGTCTTCAACGCGACCGGCGAGGGCGAGTGTTCGCAGGGCTTCTTCTGCCCGGATGCCCCGCCCACGTCCTGCTACGGCGAGACGGGGGAGGAGATCCTCGACAGCTTCGCCGCAAACTACTCGTGCTTCACTTCGGAGAATACCGTCGCGCTCTGCATGCTCTACATCCTCCTCTTCGCCCTCGTCTGCAAGCTCGTCTACGCGCTCGCCCTCTCCGCCGTGCGCGGTGGCAAGATGGTCAAGCCGCCCACAACGCCTAGGGCGTCTCCCACCACGTCTCCCTCCGTGTCTCGCTCCGCAGACCCGAGCTCGCCTGCGCACCCGGGCCCCCGGCGGGTGCAGCCATTCGCGACGAGACAATCTTGACTTCCGGCCGGCTCGATGTACATTTGTTGTGTGCACACCCCCTCCCGAACATGCCCCCCCCCCCCCCCTAGCCTCTCTGTGGGCCAGGCACCGCCGGCCTCGAGCTCTCCGAACGACCTTGCGCAAAATAATGCCCAGTTACCTCTACGTAGTGCGTGGCGCCTCGCCGCCTCCAACGGCTACGCCTTCTCGCTGCCGTCGCTCGGCGATCCGGGCGGCGGCGAGGCGGCCGAGGAGCAAGAGGGCGCCGCCGCCGCCGCAGTGGCGAGGGCGGCGGCAGCGGACACACCGGCCGCCGCCGCCGCCTCTGCCGCCGCCTCTGCCGGCGTGGACGGCTCGGGCGGCGATTTGAGCGGTCTGCTCCTCGTCCTCGCCGTGTCTGTGGCGAGCTCGTGATCATAGTCATGACAGGTCTACATACACTCGGAATGACCGCCATAGTATCACAACAGGCGAGCTCGTACGTGATCAAGTACGGAGAGACGCTGCTGCCCGTGGTGGCGGAGGGCGACTCGCTGGCGGTGCAGGCGCGCCGCCTGAGAGGAAGAACAGATCGTTAGAGCTGCAGTCAAGATGGATGAGTCTTGTGGTTCGCTGGCGGTGCAGGTGCTCGCGCCGCTGATGGTGGTGGCGGCGACGGGCTTCAACTGCTGGAAGTGGTGGCAGCGCTCGCAGGAGGACCGCGACTTTGGCGGGCTGATCTAGCGGAAGCACCGCTACCGCCACCGCTGGTCGCCTGTTTTTTCTTTGCATAGGGCCAGGGGGGCAAAAGCATGTCGACGCACCGTTTGGTTGACGTACGCATCGCGACGAAGGTGTGAATGTGAAATCTCGCCGTACTAAGTGGCGTTTTTCAAAGGAGCGTCGCGCGGGGATACAGTATGGGACCGGGGCTAGGGTTATCGGAGGTGGAGTCATTACACTGAAAAACACCATATACGTGCGCGGTTCAAAAAACGGGCCCCCCAAGGCTTTAGCAGTGGTTCTCCCGGGGTCGGGCTATCTCCAGGCGCCATAATGATGTTGACGAGCTGCCCATTTGGGGACGTTATTTCATTCCCATTATGCCACCGTGGCACATCCCCAATTGCAGCAGTGGGAACGCGACTTTGGGGGGCTGATTTAGGGGAAGCCCCGCTTCCGCCACCGTTGGTTGCCGGTTTTTTTTTGTATAGGGCCAGGGGGGACAAATTGCACCCCAACTTGGGCTTTTTTCACCCAGGTCAGAATTTTACCCTCGGGTTTTTTCGGGGGAAAGAGACCCCGAGGGTTTAGTAGGACGCCCCCCTTTTCTTCCCAGGGCGGGGGCCCCCTTTTCCCGCATTTTCCGGGGGGGCCTCCTCATAGCAGCCCCCCCAGAGGGGGTTTGTTGGATCGCCGTGCCCTCGGCGCTCGCCCGAGGGATGGGTCCAGAGATTGCCCTTGCCGCAGAGCCCCCCCGGGGTTTTGGCCTGAAGCTGCAGCAGCCCCAAATCGAGGGCGCCGGGAGGATGCTTTTGATTGGGGCATCCGGGTTTTTTTGGGCCTCCTCAAGCAGTTCTTTAAACGCCCCCCCCGCCCAGGATTTATTAACGGAAGCCCCCCCCCCCCCCCCCTCGCCCGGTGTGTGCTGCAAGCGTCGCGAGTGCTGCAAGTGTCGAGTGCGGCGTCATCACGCCTTCACAGGGTGGCACTGCGAGCGGAAGCATGAGGCACCACCCTTCCCGCACAGCTTGCAATGCATCGTGGCCATGCACTGGTTGGCGCGTCCCCCCTTGTAGCAGCGCCACTGCCTCCGGCCGTAGACATCCTTCGAGTCGCCATGCGTCGGGCAAACCACGCAGATCAGGTCGCCCTGCTGCGCCTCCTCTGCCGCCGCCTCCTCCTCCTCGACCTTCGCCGTCGCCGCCTTCTGCTTGAGCTGGTACAAGAGTCCGCCGCCGCCCGCGTGGCCGACCGACAGTGAGCGACCAGCAGTCGATGAGTTTCCACCTAAAACACCCCGAGGCGGTGGCGAGAGGGGCAGTGTCGGCTGTGGGCGCGCAGCCTCCAGCTTGTCCTGCAGCCGAAGGGTCGGGGCCCCGCTTGTCGCCGAACTTGCACACGGTGTGCCCGCCCCACGGGAGGCCAGCCTCCTCCTCCCCGCGGCGCCGCTTGTCCCGTGACGCCTCGCCTGCAGACCGCGCGCGCGGACATAGGGCGAGGTGGGCGAGGCGGTGGCGACATGGCGAGGGCGGGGGCGGCGAGGGCGAGGGGCACGCGTTGGAGAGGAGGGCCCACGCGAGGCGGTGGCGATAGGGTGATCTCGGATGGGGAAAGTCTTGGGGAGCACGCACCTCCACGCGACTGGCTCGCCTTGAGCATCTTCTCCACCTTGCCCGCCACAACGAAGCACCGGAGAAACCCCTTCGCATCCTGCAGCGAATAGCTCTGCGTCAGATTCGCCTTGTCCTCGAAGGAGACCATGCTGTAGATCGACGCGTGCTCCAGCTGGCCCTGCTCGACCAGTGCAGCCACGATCGCGCCAAACCTGCACCGCACCGCGATTGGGTGTAGAGTACAGTGTCCAACGAGAGTGCGTAGGGGAAATTTGTTTTTTGCGGGGTGTGTCCCCAGACTGTCACACGAGTCTCGTAGCGCTACTAGTACCCGCTACGCGCGCCGCTAGAGGCATGTTGTATGGGACAAAAGCGTCGAAAATGTCCCAAAAAGCGTGTCTCGAGTTTGTTGCAGCCCCACAGCTGGCGCGCGCTGCCAGGAAGCACCGCTCGCGTGTCGGCGGCACTCCCTGGCACCCAGGGAGTGCCGCGAACCGACCAGACCGAATGGGCTCGACGCCGCGCTCGCTGTGGGGCTGCAACAAAGTCGCCGCCGAGCGTGCCACCGACGGCGTCCGGGCGGCGGTGATGGAGTGTGAGACCTGAGGCTGCGGAGGTGACGCCTGAGGTACCGGCCCGTGCAAAGCGACTCAGCCGGCGACCGCCACGGGCTCAGACGAGACTTGTCGACTCGTTACGGCTCAGCTTCACCGTGGTCATCGGGCGTCTGTCGACGTCAGGACCACCATACAGCTCGCGGGTTTGAGGTCGCAAGAGCCAAGATGGTGGCGTTTGGACATCCCAACCATCACACAAGACAGCCTGTAGGTGATGGCGGGACGGCGCAGTGTTTGTGGCACTCGGCAGTAGCTCTCGCGGGCTGCGGAACCGGCCCCAGAAGGGGACGGTCCGGGCGAGTGTGGCAGCTCCTGCGCTAGTATGGGCACCCTCTATCACAACACTACTGATCCTGGTCATTAGAGCTGCCAGGGATAGCGTCAGGAGCCGGTAGGAGTCAAAACCTCTCATATTGAGACATCGTGTCCCATATACTCGCACAACGAGCCTAGAGCCTCTAGACGTAGACCGCCACCGCGCGCCAGCGGAGGGTTCACGCCTCCTTGTTGAAGGCGCCCTTGGCCTTGGAGACCATCTCGTCCAGTTTGAGCGGAAGCAGCTCCTATGCCACACCATACAGGAGACGTGTGAGAGGCGCCGCACCGAATGGCGCCCGCTCCTGCGAGGCGTGGGGTGGGTGGGGCATGCCTCAATCTTGGCCATGATTGCGTTCAGCCCCGAGGCCGGGAAGGCGGTCGATGGCGTGATGCCACCCTCAATCACCGGGAACACCCGATTGATGAACACGCCCGGCGCCGGGCCGTCGGGGCCGTCGATGAAGGATTGGAACTCTTCGGCGCTCAAGGGTTGGGAGGCTTCCCAGATGCAGAATATATCGTCCTGTGGCATGAAGAGACGGGCGTCGGCCGACGCGCGAGCGGTCGCTGTGAGGTGCCGGTCGGGGCCTTGTGCGAGGTGCCGGTCGGGAGGAAGCAATGGTTGTGGACGCCGTTGGCGCGATTCTTAGCGGCGAGGTCGGCCCAGTTGGCCTGGTCAGCGAACTCCCAGAAGGACTTGTGCGCATTCTGGTCCACAAAGGAGTGGTGCACCCAGAAAAAGCTGCCCGTTGACTTGGCGGGAGTCTTGGGAGCGTTGGCCACGCGGATGGGGGCGTGAGCCCAGAGGGGAGGACCCTGAAAGCCTGGGTGTGAGGTTGTGGCGGCTTCGATCCCAAGGGGGGGAGCTGATCCCACTCAGTAACCAACTCTCAGGGGCAGTAGGTGGGCGAGCCTCGAGCGCGCTCATCTCGATCGTGAAGGCGTCGCTACGCGCGGTCTTCCGCGGGGGGAGCTGCGTCGACGGGTGCGGGACCGCGGCGCAGCCAGTGCCGCGGCGAGGCCTCCGGCTGTTTGCGGCGGGCGGCTTGCTGCTCGCTGCATGGCGAAAAACTCGTCTCGCCACACGCCAAGGGCTTATGCTCTGGCGAGACGTGAGGCGCATGCGCCCAGGAGGGGAGGGCGCATGTGTAACGACACTGCTAGAGATGCCTTTCGGGGCCCAGAGATAAAACTTCTGTGATGCCATGCGTGACCTAGTAGTGTCCCCAGCTATGGGCGTGTCCACGTTGGAGCCAGGTGTGGTGTGGGCGCGAGAATAGCTCCGCCGTTCATGGAGGCAACCGATGCGAGTCGACTGGTGTGTGTCGTCGTGGTTTCGTATCAAGAATTCTCTCTCTCTCGCCGCCACCACACAGGGATTTTAAGGAGAGGAGTGTGGTGCTAGCCGTCGCCCACCCTAACCTTTGGTCGTCTGCCTCTTGACACTGGACACCAACGCGGCGAGGATGGGCCGACGTTTTCTTCAGGGGTGCGAATTCTTTTTTTTTGCTCAGCAAGTCTCTCCTCACCCACCGACCTACCCGCTGTGCGTTACCTACACGATGACAGACTACAAGAAGCTCAAGGTCGCCGAGCTGAAGGACCTGCTGACTCAGCGCGGCCTCGGCGTCAGCGGCAAGAAGGACGACCTCATCGCCCGCCTCGAGGAGGACGACACCGCAAAGGCGGCCGCTCCTGCCGCGCCGCCCGCCGCCGCACCGCCAGCGGCGCCGGCGGCCGCGGCTCCAGCCGCGCCGCCCGCCGCCGCACCGCCGGCGGCGGCTCCGGCAGCTCCGCCGCCGGCCGCGGCGCCCGCTCCTGCGCCAGTGGCAGAGGCGCCGGCGCCCGCTGCCCCTGCTGCTGCGGCACCAGCGGCGGCACCAGCACCGGCGGAGGCGGCGGCGGCGGACGCGCCGCCGACGGCGGACGCCTTCGAGGCGGCCAAGACGGCGCGGGCGGCGCGCT